TTTTGAAACTCATCCGACCCTCATTCGTTATAATACCAAGTTGGGAGTCGGACAGTCTCAAGGCGGTTCGAGCGCGGACGGGGCTGCCGCCGAGCGGATGGGGCCGCCGCCCAGGCGCGATCCAAATGGTGCAGAATGTTCGTCAACCTTTTGGCCCACGTCGGCTCGACGTGCGTGCAGCGCCGGGTGTGACTGATGTGAGTTGCCGTTGATATGATGTGTACTCCAATGCTTCCATGCGAAAAGTTGATAGTTTCGGTTCCAACTGTTTTCTCCGAATGTAATCATCGACTTACCGATCTCACGATGCGCCGGTCTCACTGTCCATCTACAGACCCCACTTTCAATATATGTACATGTATACATCTGAACGTACATCTCGTCATCTCCCATCGGGACAACCGTCACAACCGTCGGGACAGCCATCATAACAGCGCGAGGGCCAACCATCAGCACAACAAACCACGGGCACAAGCATCGGATCAACCCTCGTGACAACCATCGGGGCAGCCATCGGGACTTCCATCGGGACAACCGCTCGGACATCCATGGGAGCAACCACTCGGGACAACCACTCGGGGCAACCACCGGACAAAAAGCAGCAGGACAACCAGCGGGGCAACCAGCGGGACAACCAGCGGGACAACCCACAGAACACACCTCGGGGCAACGCGGCGGGACCACCGCGCGACAACATCCCGGGGCACGCCCAGGGCAAGCCCTCTGGGCGGCCGTGCCCCGACGCCTCCCGGCTTGACCCGGGCCGGACTGGTGCAGGAGCTCGCGCATGGCTTCGCCTGCCTGGCCCGCACTCACGGCGCGAAGCAAAGGCGAGACCGGTGTCCATGTTGGACGACTCCGCGTTGTCCGTTAATCCATCTCCGCTAATCATTACGCAGACATGTCCATACAAAGAGGTACTTGCACACACATCTGTCACCGTCTGCTCACAGACGGGGCAGCCATGGAACGACGCCCCAGAAGGCGGGGACCAGGCACGTTTTGGCTGGCATGGCCTGAGCCTAATCAGCTCGTGGCTGGTGGAGTATCTCGCGCAGCGTCGCCTCGCCCGCACGCCACGCAAGTTACGGCCCGAGACCAAAATCGAAACCGATTTCCCGGCTGGGGGACTCCGTTTCACTTCGATATCCCCCCTCCAACCTCCTTTCTCTAGAAGGGAGAAATTGACGATGACGACGACGACGACGACGAAGACCCCTGACGTCTTCAGAGGCCACACCACAAGCAATGGCCGAACACGCTCAGAAACCTACGGTCGGGAACATCTGCCTCGCGCGTCGCGGCGGTGGCCCCTGCGACACGCAAAGCCTTGCAAGCTGATAGTGTTTCGCTCCGCTCCGCAGGGCGGGGATGGAGGACCAGGACGTGGTTTGCAGGAGCTCCTGGCTGGAGATCCCCGATCGATCAACCAACCCCGACGACGGCGCGGCAGCGGCAAGCATCACGGACGGCGGTCAGGGCTGACGGCGACGTCGACGGAGTAGGCGCTGACGGCGCGGACGGTCCTGGAGAGCATCTCGGCCTCGGAGGTCTGCGAGACAAGGCTCCTTGGCCAGCCAGCGCGTCAGACGCACGCCGGGGTTTCCTCGCCGTCATCGCCGTCGACGGTCACTCGTCGTCGTCGTCGTCGTCGTCGTCGTCGTCGTCGTCCGTCGTCGTCGTCGTCGTCGTCGTTGTCCGTCGTCCGTCGTCGTCGTCGTCGTCGTCGTCGTCGTCGTCGTCGTCGTCGTCGTCGTCGTCGTCGTCGTCGTCCGTCCGTCCGTCCGTCCGTCCGTCCGTCCGTCCGTCCGTCCGTCGCCGCCGCCGCCGTCGTCGTCGTCGTCGG